AAATGTGGTACCTGGCATTTGGCCCGATTCTCGTCCAACCTTGTGAGGGCATGGAAATTCTTTGCAGGAATGTTGGGAGCATTCTTAAGACAAATCAAGGCGCTGAATTAACGAGGAAACAAGGTTAAAAAGTATACTTAGGCGTTGATTAAGAGATGAAGAGGGTGAATTAAGGAATGTAGCTTACTTGGTGTTGCAAGGATTTCCAACTACAAGGACCTTGACATTAGGAGAGGCAACTGCGTTAAGAGCTTTGCCTTGCTCAGCAAATATTTGGCCATTGATGTCCAACAAAGCAGCACGTTCCATTCCAGGGCCTCGAGGTTTTGCACCAATCAGAAGAGCCCATTCAACATCTTGGAACACTTCATATGGATCTGTTCCTATATCAACTTCTCTCAACAACGGGAACAAGGAATCCTCCAGTTCCATTGCAACACCTTCAAGAGCTTGGATTGATCTCTCTGATCCTAACAGTTTCAAAGCAATGGGTTGGTCTGGACCAAACACTGAACCTGAAGCAAGCTACAACAGGAACAACAAGCTTACATAAAGATAAGACCAATGATTGGTAGTAGTAACCTTATCCTATGAAACAGTAGTAAAAAAGATACAACTTACTTTGAAGAGAAGGTGATTAGAAATCATCCCTGCAGCACCTGAAACTGCAATATTGATCATCTTCTTCCATGATTTTGTCTCTTCTTCCTGCAAACACACACAATTGGTAACTGAAAATCAAAGACCAACTCTTAAGGATTTGTGAGACGATGTAAGAAGCAGAGGATTATAAGTACGAAGAAGAGAAAAATACAGCTTTGAGATCATAAGTGAGGCAGAACACTCCATAACACTCTTTCTTCGTCTTCGCCAATCCATTATCTTGAACCGCAACAGGGGCTTGGCTAATTTTATAACATAAAATTCACAAAAGAGCATATAATCAGATAAAGTTTGAATTTTTTCAATAGCGAGAAGAAAGGATTTATGAACTTACTTCTGAGAAACTGAGCAAGAGATTTTGGAGTTTGGAGTTGTGGGGAGAGGTGGAAGAAGAAGATGACGAAAGTTGTTTGAGAGATGCAATTTTGAGGAGAGGCTAAACCGAGACGAAGAGTTGAGAAAAGACGACGTCGTTTTGGGAGTTGAAAGCTCTGCCATGGCCATTATCGCACAAACACAAAGACTGTGAAAGT